GAATTATTTTGTGCATTAAATTGAATGAACATGGTCTGGATAGCCCACAGACATGCCATAAAAATTTCTAGGACCCATAATTGGTCTCCTTTAAGGAAGCTGATCGTGTATAAAACAGGCCTCTTTGTTGAGCTTTGATAGTTTTGTTTCTTCTAATTGATTTCTGTTTACAGCCAACAAGCAGCCATCGGTAACCAGACATCTGCCAAAACAGCAAGGTGTTCTGGTCAGACAGGTTTGTACCTCAGCAGAACATCCTTCAGCTGCAGTGTTGTTGATGAAGTCCAGTTTCAGTCGCCTCTCCATGTACTCCAGGTCAGCCTCGGACTTCAGGAACTGCAAACACAAAGTGGAACTCTTCACCAGGACGGCCATTTAACCTGATGATAACCAGGAAACTTCAACAGGACTAGCTTGATCTCTAATTAGATTTCTATATTTAAACCAGAAAGGCTTTTTGGAAAGAAAAAGAACACAAACAGGTTAATCAGAGGATTTGTTAGGCTCAAGGGCTCGACACACAAGCAGCGGCAAACTACAGCGATTAGCGGCTGTCATCGCACCCAGGGTGAAACCCGACACACGGGACGCGATAGCAGCGTTGCGAATCGCGCTCTCAGGTCGCTTGTCTTCACAAAATTTGATTGGTTCTTGACTCTGAAGGTGGGTGTGCATTACAGACGTGCAAACTAAACAAATCTTGCGATGCTAATGATACTGAAAAACAAACACACATCAAGATACAGTTTTATGAGGAAAAACTTACCATAAACTTCACCCTGGTGCCAATAAATTCCCACAAAGCTGKCTTTTTTAGTAATCACTTGGTGAAAGTGTTAGCTAACTGCAGTGTGTAGCATACTCTCCTCTCATTGGTCAGTCAATGAAACCCTCGCGGATTGGTTGTACGCTAAGCGACAGCGACAAAAGCTGAACATTTTTCAACTTTCATATGTCGCATCGCAAGCTCGCAAGTACATGTCTACATGTACGAGCGTGAAATATCACATGCACTATTTTCGCCAGTCGCTTAGCTGGAGGAGGGCAAGCGATTGTCGCCTCACCGCACAGGCTCCATAGGAAATGAATGGAGAGCGAGCGACGTCGCCTCCCGTGTGTCGAGCCCTTTAGACTGCTGAAGGTCAAACTGTCCACACGTCTTCACTCTGCTGCTGTCTTTAGTCTCTCTCTATGTGTTTGTTATTATTACTTCTATCAATAACGTGTTTTATTCGTCTGTCTTCCAGAGGAAAATACACCTGGACCAGTCCAGTATTTGTGTCTCTTTCCTGTCCTCTCAAACCCAGCCTGTCGAGGCAGATGGCCGCCTGTCCTGGTTCTGGTTCTGCTGGAGGTTTCTTCCTGTTAAAAGAGAGTTTTTCCTCTCTACTGTCACCAATGTGCTGCTCTGGATAGAAGACTGTGAAGAAGTGATTCAGCACAATCTGCTGGCTTCTTTAGGTTGTTTTTTGTACACAGTGGCCTGAGACGACGTGTGTTGTGACTTGGCGCTATATAAATAAACTGAATTGAATTTACATGTACTAACTTTGTAGAGAGATCTAGTCGAGCTGAATGAATGTGGGTGAATTGACAAATGAAGACACAGATTGTAGTGTAAAACACTTTGTATGTTGGATATAAAGACACTACTGTATATAAATACAGCCCATTTACCATTTTAACCTTTAGGAAGGYCATCAAACAGGGTTAGGATTTGGCATCCTCACTGATTTGGATTAAAGTTTATCAGAAATTTCCAGATTCAGAAATCCCCTTCTTGCATGTTTCAGAGTGGGGGGATTTATTACTAATGAGCAGTGGTGGGCACAGTTCCCTTAAAGCACTATTAGGGGAACTAATTTCCTGATTACTGCTTTAGGGCTTTGTCTAATTTTATAACTTATTAGTGGATTAGCACTTGCTAAATTTATAGGCTAAATTTACAAGCACTAACTCAGGTCTTTAAATGTTATTGATCAACATTAATGTTAAAAGCTGATAGTGAAAGCTGTCACACATTTTGTTCAAATGTGTCACTTATCCACTAGGTCAGTGGTTCCCAAACTTTTTATCTTGTGACCCAAAAAATATTCATGGCAAAAACTTGTGACCCCAAATATTACTGCTC